GCTGAGTTTAGTACCGTGAGGGAAGATATTCATCGCAGCTAGTTTGGGAGGAATTTCTTTGAAAAGACTAGCCCTTTTCTCCTCTCCTTCACATGTGCTCTTTTCTTCTTACCCTCCACTACTTAAAATCCCCCTTCTGATCTGATCTGATCTGATCTGATCTGATCTGAGTGGTGAGTCTATAAAGAGTCAAGAAATATCTCTTCACTACTTTTCACCTGCCTTGCTATGGCATACCAAGCATAACAATCATTAACATTGGGGTTGTAACCTATAACCTAACCCAAAGCAAAGGCAATACTACCTATGATTAACCCCCCTAAGCCTTAACATTCCTTTTCTTTTCTTGAGAAATGCCAGAGTGATATAAAAAGGGAGTGTAAGTGAATAGGAAGAGTTTATAGTACCAAGAATAGTCAGTCAAATTGAAACATGGATAAGCGAGCATAGGTTAGTGGTAAACCGTGTGCCTTCCAAGCATGATTCGCGTGTTCGAGTCACGCTGCTCGCATGTGAAGGTAGAAGGATAGTATCAATAGATACTAGGTGACATAAGTCACCCATCATAACTGAACCCTTAGGTTTAAGGGAGTCCTTCCTTACTGGCAGAATCACCTTAACCTATTTTCAACGTACAGTGGTAGATAACTCTACAACCTCTTTAGAGGCTAGCCTTTTGGTTTTCAACCGTTAATCAAATGGGGGATAAAGGTAAATCAATGAAGATAATTCCTAAAGATTCAAATCATGATTAATCAGGGTTCCTGTAAGAATGATGGTTAAATTGGATACTTAGGGGCCCAGGGAGCTTAACTCATTACCCCTTTCTCTTCTAGTCGGGCTCTTCAAAGGATAATCGGCATTGTCTCCCTTTGAACCCCAAAAACAGTGCGTGTTGGATGCGGCTTGAGATAGCCTGATGGGGGCGGGGCCCTAAAGCCGGGGGGGGCCGGCCTCTGAAGCCCCCCCCTAGGCCCTTGTTTGGAACCATAGCAACCTGCTGCCATCTTTGCCTCTGCTATAGTCTCAGCTAAATGTTGGCGCCCTAGAGACTGCAACTTTCATGCTAGCAAGGATATATAGGATAAAGCCGATCAAGCAAATATTGCTCTCTCTCGATCTCGAATAGGAGGAATCCTTTCTCAATATTTATATGCAAAGGAGCAAGAGTCTACAGTACTACGGTTAGAAGAGTAAAGGCAGAATACCCATATTTCTTATAACCCGAACGGATTGTGCTCTTAGTTTTAGTATCCCCGTTTATATAGCTAGGGTTAAATAGCTTGATACTCGTTTATCAATCCGGTATGAACTCCCCACGTAGACATCTCCTGTTTCCTTATTTAACCACGCATAGATACCGCTACGACCTTTAAGGGTTTCCTTGATTGTGCATCCTCCTGAGGTCCATAAACTATGGACTGGCTTTAAGGGTTTGGGTTAATGATTGTACAGGTTCCTGTATATCAGATATCGGCTTGCTAGCGTCAGCTTTGACGGTTAACTCCACGTTCGAGCTTGGGCGCTCCTTACCGGTAGCATAGCCTCTTACTTGGGGGGGGCTTCAGAGAAGCCCGGGCTCCTATGGATCCCCCGAGGAGAAAGCGTTCAATCAAATTGAACCCATATAACCACGGGATTGAATGTAAGGAGCAGGTTGCACCTCACCAGCCGGAAGGCCTAAAACAGTCTGTGGTCATTTGAAAGCAAAGCGGAAATGAAACCAAAGTAGAAGGAAAGGGTACTAGCAACACCAAGGCCTAGTAATACCCCTATGAAGAAATTCAGTTCATAGTAAATAAAGGCAAAGAAGATAAACCGGCAGATATAAGGCATATAAGCCTTAATAAGGCAATGGTGTCATCAACGATTCACGCTCACCGGTTCTTGGGGGCCTACGGCCCCCTCCGTTGGAGGCCCCCATGCCAGGCGTCCACTTGCTCATGGTAGCAAGGAGTGGTATCCTTAATAATACGAACGAGGCTCATCTGAGCATTTGAACCTCAACCCAGATGGCTCCTTGGTTAAACAAATGATGTAACCTAACACGAAGAACTGAAGAGTAAACTAAAGAATGAATTACATTAACACCAATATTTACTCCTATCCCCCAAGCCACGAATTCTAAAGAGAAATGAATTAACCAGTCAAAACCCGGCGGGGGATCCGTAGGATCCCCCGCCCTTATGGGTCCTGGTAAGGCTTTCGACCGTTTCCTCAGAACAATTCATACCAACTATCATCTTAACCATTTCTTTACTTGAACCTCTTTGCTCAAGCAGCCTACATAACCTCTAAAAGGCATTAATCCTTAAACCATCTTTACACAGCCTTTGCCTCCCTTTTGGTTCGCCCGTAAAGATAAAAGGAGGAAAGGGCTAGTCTTTTCAAAGAAATTCCTCCCAAACTAGCTGCGATGAATATCTTCCCTCACGGTACTAAACTCAGC